GCTTAGATGATCATTTCTGTGTATTTCTACAGCAAAGAGCAAAGATTCTGCCTGGCCCATACTTTCTCACTACATCTACGATTGTTGACCCATTTGAATCTTAAATATGGCTGCTCAACTTGAATGTTGCTGGAACCCTGGACAGTGGGATACAGATGAAAGTTCCTTTGGTTAGCAGCTTGAGCTGCAGGTCTGGTGGGAGGGGCACATATAAATTAACATTGACTATGGTTTTTAGTAGAATCTGGGGCCAGTTTTTGCTCTTGGTGAAATCAACCATTTTATGCTTAGAGTAAGGGCATTTACTGTGAAATGCTTTTCAACAGAAAACATCTTGTGGCTGAGTCTGCCTGGAAAATTGTGTGTGTGCGTGTGTGTGATTTTGGTTGGGTCTGGGTAGGGTGAAAAGTATGGTATTAGACTTGCACAAGATAGTGGGAATATACCTTAGTGTGGTCTGTGTTTCACAGGCGAGGAGAGGGGATCCTCTAGCCTTATTTTGGAACAAGAACTGAGAATTCTTGGGATTGGGACTTGATAGCGTGGGGATGGGGCAATCTATTGAGGGTTAAGTAGTTAAGATCTGGTATGAATGGAGGGAAAAAGGTTTAGGGGATGAAATGGTAAGATCTAGCAACTCTGTTCTTGGGCATGTGACCTTAGGTTGAGAAATATGTATACGTATGTGCATTTGTGTACATGCGTGAACTATATTGCTGGAGGGTATAGGTTGTGAGCTTCAAGTACAGGATACCTAAACTCAGATCCCATCTCTACCACTTACTATTTGTACAATCTCGTAAATATTTTTTTGAACGTCTCTGGGCCCTCAGATGTTCTTTTCTTAATTTCTTGTTCTCTGGAAGGTTAATGAATTGCCAAGAAGCTTGTACCTTCCAGAGACCAGGGACTCAGAATCTCTTCCAAATTCCCTGTGTCTTTTCATGGAGGAGCAGGGGAAGAAAGGAACTTTGGGTTCCTTCAGATGTCAAGCCTTGCCTGTGCATCAAGGGTGGAAAGGGCTCTGAATGGATTTGGGGAAACCGGTATCTTTCCCTAGCCAGCCCTATGGTCATCAGCAAGTCACTTGCTCTTTCAGGGAGGCTCTAGTGTGAATTATATTTTGTTGAACATTGATCCTCTGATAATAGGCAATCTGTGTTTGAGACCTTTCGGTAAACACAACATTGTATTAACAAGGATACATCGTTATTGGACCATTTTGGAAAGTGCAAAGAGCAACACACCAGAAGAGTGAGATTTCCTGCTCCCTAGCTACACTGGAGATTGTGTCAGTGCTTCTAAAATGGCTCTTTTTAGTTTATACCTGTTCCATATCTTTGAAGTGAAGCTAATAATATCTGTTCACTAGGCTTTTCTGTGCTTTAATCTTACTAATTCCCTGTCAAGAACCTTCAGTGGTTCCCTGATCCATACCAAATTATGCTTTCTCATCCTGGCTTTTAAGTCTCTCCACAGTTTGAAGACAATATTTATAATGAATACTTACAGAGTATTTTACAGTTTGTAGATTTATCCCAAGGATGCAAGTATGGTTTAGTATTAGAAAATATATGTGTCATTCATCACATTACAAAATTAAAGGAAAAAACCCATATGAACATCTCATTAGATACACAAAGACGTTCGATAAAATTTAGCATAATTTTATGACTTAAAAACTCTTAATAAAAATAGAAGGGAATTTTCTTAATCTGACAAAAAACATTTACAAAAATCCTGTAACAAACATACATAATGGGGAAACATTAGAAACATCTTTAAAAGCAGGGATATGACAATACTACTCATTAGCATCCTTTCTGTTTGACATTATGTGACCATCCTAGCCAGTGCAAACTTTTTTCAAAAAAGAAATTAGAGGCCTAAGAATTTGATAGGAGAAAAATCTCTGGCATTATATGCAGATAATATGACTGTCTACATAGGACACCTAATTTATGTTCAAATAGTTAGGAATAATAGGAACATTGACAATGGCTGGATATATGATCAATTTGCAAAAATCAATTGCATTTTATAAACCGTAACAATCAGAGAACATAATTTAAAAATACATCATTTCTATTACAAAAGAGCAATAAAAACCATAAAGTACTTAGGAATAAATCTAATCAAACGTGTAAGGTCTTCATACAGGAAAATCTAAAAGTTTGAGTGACATTAAAGAAGACTTAAATAAATGGAGAGATATCCTGTGTTCATGGATAGGAGGGCATAGTATCAGAAAAATGATGGTTCTATCCAAATTGATCTATAAGTTCAATGCAGTTTTTATCAAAATCCCACTCGAGTTCTTTACGGAATTTGACAAGCTAGTCAAGACACTTCTCAAAAATAATAATAGGATTGGGAATTTTCCTGTCCGATATCAGACCTTATTATAAAGCTACAGAAATCATGTAGTACTGGTACAGAGAGAGACAAACTGACCAGTGGAATAGGTTAGTAAGTCAAGAAATAAATCTCTTTATATCTGGAACTTTAATATATGACCTAAGATGGCATGACAGATGCATGAGAAAAATAAAAAGTTTTAAATACATCGAATTTATGGAGAAAATGAGATCCTTATGTCATATCCTGACATAAATATCGGTATTAGGACCTGGCACAGTGGCTCACGCCTGTAATCGCAGCACTTTGGGAGGCTGAAGTGAGCAGATCACTTGAGGCCAGGAGTTTGAGAACAGTCTGAGCAATATGGTGAAACTCCCCATCTCTACTAAAAATACAAAAATTAGCCAGGTGTGGTGGTGCACACCTGTAATCCCAGCTACTTGAGAAGCTAAGGCACGAGAATCACTTGAACCCAGGAGGTGGAGGTTGAGCTGAGATCTGCACTCCAGTCTGGATGTCAGAGTGAAACTATCTCAAAAAAAGAGAAAAAAATCAGTATCAGATGAAATAAGGGCTTAAATACTAAAAGCAAAAATGTTAAACCTTTAGTAGAACATAGCAGATAATGTTTTTCTAGCTTTGTAGTAAAGAAAGACACCATAAAATAAATTATGCTTATGGAATTTCTCATCTTTTGAAGAAATTTTTCATCTTTGCTGGTTGCTTCCCCTTCTGATCACATTTGCTGGCTTGAGACTTTCTTCACTTGCTTTAAACACAACTCTAAGCATCCTCCTTTGTGCACATCTTCCTCTGCTCAGCTAACTTCCTTGTACACAGAATCCAGACAGTCCCAAAGTTCAGATATTCATGGCTTACATTTGCATGATGAACTGACGGTGGGGAAGGGAGTCAAAAGAGGAGTCTGTTATGGTCAGACAAGCTGTGGGTCTGCCACGCTGGTTGTATTTGAATGTTCCAGTAGTTACGAATTCCAGTGTGAGATCTATAGGGATTCTCAGGCCTCTGAAATATACTCTCAATCATAGAAGCCTCTTTCTCTAGCCAGTCTGCAAAGTTAAGTGGTAGCATGGATAGAGGCTCACTAGGGAAAATCAAAGGAGAGTACCATCATTGTCCTAGAGTTGGAGTGAACTATGGGTCCCCGAATCTACACAAGTGGAGAAGGTTCTGTTGTCCTAGTAGCAAAGCAAAGCTTCACCTGGTTCAAACAGGTAACTCCAAGGTCTCACACTTGACCTGGGAGCTGAATGGTTTCACCAATTTGGGGAGAAACACCTTTCCTTGCTCATTCTTTTGATTCCTTTTTTCCAGCTTCCATAAAGTTGAAAGATGTTGCTCAGGAGTTGTTGGGTAACTAGCTGGCACCCCACAGGGATTTGAATTATTTTGTCTTTCTCTTTCACTTTTTTTAAGAGACAGAGTTTTGCTCTGTTGCCCAGTCTGGGGTGCAATGGCATGAAACTCCTGGGCTCAAGCAGTCCTCCTACTTCAACCTCCTGAGTAGCTGGGACTACAGGCATGAGCCACCATACCCTTGTCTCTTGATTTCAGTAGAGAAGGCATTGAGATTATGGTTGACTCTTGCTAGATTTTATTTACTCAGTTAGTCTACACAGATAGCCTTTCTTTCCATAATACTTATAATCCTTTTGTCTTTCTATGGGATTACAGTTTCCCAAAAGCTTTTGCTGTTGTTCCACTGCTTCTTGGAGTGTAGCCAATGTGATTTTTCTAAAGCACAGATTTGTTTACCTGCTTTCTGTCCCAATTCTCTGTTTAAAACCCTTTGATGGCTTCTCATTATTTCAGAAAGAAATCCAAACTTCTTAGCTTTGCTTATATGACACTTAAAAGGCTGCTCAGTCTTCTAGTTTTTTCTCTTGATAGTCCCTCTTGTGCTCTCCTCTAGTTTTACTGAACTGCCAGTACTTTGAACACACTTTGTGCTTTTTCTCCTCCAGGTCTATGTGTATACTGTTTCCTCTGCCTGGAATAATCTTCTTTCTCTTTACCTGGCTTGTTTCTGTTCTTTCTTCAGGTCTCAGATTCTAGGAAGCTTTCCATCAACCTGTCATCACTGGGACGAGTTGGCCATCCCCTGTGCTTCTGTAGCTTCTATCAAATCATAATACTTAAGATGTGATGTTTAAATGTTTACTTGGCGTTCTCCTCTACTGAACTCTAAGCTTTGTGAGGGTAGTGATGGTGGCTTTGTCTATTGTTTTGTTTCCCTTAAATCTAAATGTGTGCCTGGCACATAGTAGCCTCCAGTAAATGCCTGTTTAATGAACAAACAAACCTATGAAGTGAGTGATAGAGTGCTTAGTCCCTTTCAGTTTTCAGGATGGAGAGATGGAGAATGAGGACCTCACACAAAATCACACAGTACTTGGTGGAAGAAGCTGAACTATGACTTTCCTTCCCTCAGAGGAATGCACTTTGCATTGGAAGATACGAAGAAATTCCCAGTACATTGTCTTTCCTACTGGGTCTGTGTGAGAACAGGCTGATAGATGCCTCTGGTGGGTGGGTAAATGCATGAGCTTTTGGCAGTTGGATGAACGGGTTTACCAATGAGTGATTCTCTTTCCCTCTCTCTTCCTTCCTGTTCACAGCATCAAGCTGAGCTCCCAGACTCTGACACAGGCTGGAGATGATGAGAAGAACCAGAGGACGATCACTGTCAACCCTGCCCATATGGGGAAAGCATTCAAGGTTATGAATGAACTACGGAGGTACTTTTTCTATCTTGTCTATGCCCTTGCAGAAGGAACTTGTCCATGAGCTTCATCAAGGACTAAGAATAGAAGTCAGAATATGACCACTTAGGGAATTCTGACTCTTTCCACCCACTCTCAGTCACTTGGTTTCCCCTTTCTTTCTCTCTGTCTCTCTCTCTCTTTTTTTTTTTTTTTTTTTTTTTTTGAGATGGAGTCTCACTCTGTCACCCAGGCTGGAATGCAGGTGATGTGATCTTGGCTCACTGCAACCTCTGCCTCCCGGGTTCAAGCAATTCCCCTGCCTCAGCCTCCCGAGTAGCTAGGATTACAGGTGCATGCCACCATGCCCAGCTAATTTTTGTATTTTTAGTAGAGATGGGGTTTCGCCATGTTGGTCAGGCTGGTCTCGAACTCCTGACCTTGTGATCCACCTGCTTCAGCCTCCCAAAGTGCTGGGATTACAGTTGTGAGCCACCGCGCCTGGCAGGTTTCCCCTTTCAAACTCTGCTTGAGAAAGAATGACTTTGCCAGAAAACTGTCTTTCCTTTGTATGTATTTAACACCTATCATTTTAATGATTAATCACAGGGGAAAAATCCTTTATGGTTATAGCAAGTCTGTTCATAAACTTGATTTCTAACAGAATGAGCTACTTGGAAACCAGTAATAGAATGATTGCAACACCCACACACAATTGCAGATTAAAGACTGGATGTCATGTATTTTCTTCTAGTTTCACTCTCTCTTTCACTGGTCTGAACTTAGGTTGGCAAGACAACCACATGGGTGGAAGAATACCTGGCTCCTTAAATGTAAAGAGAGAAATGAAATGTGAATATACTCATCCTCTCTGAGCTAATAGTGAGGGGTACACGGGCTGTTTGTAAGGCCAATGTGCATGTTTGACAAGCTTGTTGTAAGGCAGGTTCAGAGCGCTGAACATGTGTTTCTGTACGTGTTTTCCTGTACAAAGCCTGTGCACATGATCTCTTCTTTACCAGAGAGCTCAGAAGCTTCCTTTGCCCATGCAATTATTTACTGCATACTTCATCCTGTTATGAGGTGTAATTGTTTATTTCATCTTTTCTGTGTAGCTCATGAACTCTCTGAAGGCAGAGGCAACTTTTGAGTAATTTTTATCTCTAGCACCTGGCACTTCATAGGAGCTTCTATTGATTCACCAAAGATGCCCAGAGGCACTGGCTAGGCCCTAGAATAGGTCAGTGGGGTACAAAGTAAAAAATAGAAATAGGTCAATGAAAATAATCCTTCTGTAGTACAAATAGGTATTATGATGGCGGAATGCATCCACTGCCTGATAGGTGGTAGGTACGCAATAATTATTTGTTTCTTAAAGAGGGCCACAGAAGCAAGTATGACAGGTGGGAACTTTGGAGAAGAGGGTTGATGCTGGAGCTGAATTTTGAATGACAAATAAGAGTTAGACAAATGAAGGGTAGTGGGGATAGGGAGAAGCCTTCCAGGCAGAGAAAATGGCACATAGCCAAAGAAGTGTGTGTTGAGTGGGGAGTTGAACTACTTTTAAACAAAAGTTCTACCTGATTCTATGTTTGTTTTCTTATTTCTCCTTTCTACAGGGCCTAGTCTTTGGCATTAATAACCATGTTAAATTAAATTTGCCTTATGCTCCACTGCTCAATTTTTAGTAGGCCTCCTGCCAGATTTCCTGGAAGCTCTGCCCATAGCTGTCTTAGACATCGGGCTGTGCTGATGTCCATGCTTGTGGGCATGGTTCTCTTGTTAACTGAAGAATTTGTCTTGTGTTCCCTAGACACTATTGAAATTCCTCATTTAGTTCTTTTGGGTATGCTTGTGCCCTTTGTCCGATTGAGGAGTCTTTCACCAGGCCTTATTTTGCCTGGTATTATAGTCAACTCCAGTGATGGCTGAAAGGGAGAATTTAGGAATAGATATGTACACAAGATTCCCTGCACCCTTGCTTTCTATTACTAGCATCTTTTCTTTGTTTGTTTGTTTTGTTTTGTTTTTTAAAGAGACAGAGTCTTGGTCTGTCACTTAGGCTGGAGTGCAATGTCCCAGTCACAGCTTACTGTGACCTTGAACAACTGAGCTCAAGCAGTCCTCCCACCGTGGCCTCCCAAAATGTTGGGATTATGGGCATGAGCCACTGTGCCCAGCTCCCTTTTCCTTAATTAATTTTTTAAAAAGACATCCTAAGTTCTCATTACTTCTGTTACAAGTTACTAGGTTTTTCTCTTTCCTCAAAAGCATTGACTTAGATTTAGCCATCTCCAACTGTCCTGCTGCTTCTTCTCTTTTGTATAATTCGGCATTTGTCAAACTCTGTTCTGAGAAATGCTAGTTCCCTTAAGATGCTCTGTGAGAAAAAAGAGCTCTGTGCCCCAATGAGTTTGAAGAATGCTATATACTGTACCCCTCTCTGAGGTTCATAATGCCTACTGGCATATTAAACGCTCTGAGAAGTCCTGCACTAAATTTGTCTGATTGAGGGTTTTCCACACATATTTGACTATAGAGTCTTCTTTGGTGGTGGTTGTAGATAGACCAAGTGTTTTGTGAAATTTGTTTTGGGAAATACATTTCTAATACCAGACATAGTCCTTTGCTGAAATTTAAGTGAATAATCTTATTCTCCCTCTTTTTGTGTTTTTTCAAATGGACCACAATCTGTATATATTTGACTGGCTGGGAAAATTTTAATTCAGGTTTAGGCATAGATTTTCCTATCATTTTTCTTTTAATTTTTGTTCTGTAAAAGGAATATATTTGTTATAGAACATTTAGAATATACAGATGAGCAACAAGTCATCTATAATTTTAGTACATAGTGGTAACCATTGTAATACTTTGGACAATATACCTCTCTTCTTTAGAATATATGTCTCATTGCAAAAGACACTGTGGCACAATAAAAGTCTCTACGTTCCTTAGCATAAATCATTTTGGCAAAATATTTATTTATTTTTATTTTTTTGAGGCAGAGTTTTGCTCTTATTGCCCGGGCTGGAGTGCAATAGTGTGATCTCGGCTTACCACAACCTCTGCCTCCCGGGTTCAAGCAATTCTCCTGCCTCAGCCTCCTGAGTAGCTGGGATTACAGGCACCCGCCACCATGCCCAGCCAAATGTTTATGTTTTATATAGCTAATGGCTACAAGTCTTTAGCTAAGACCAAGATTACAGTAGTTCAATGTATAGAACTTACAGATAAGTCAATTTAGTAACTTTGCATTTTGGCTTTGGTTTTTGGCTATGTTGCTTAAAAAGTTTTATGGGTTTTGATGAGTGCCTGCCCACCTCCGTTCCCATCTGACCGGGAGTATTTAAATTGGCTGTAAGTCTTTTGGCTCTAAGTCCTTGGCCATAGGGGTCCCACCAAGGGACAAGATGGACCTGGGGCAGGCAGGCACACTACCCTGGCAAAGAGATAGGACAGAATGAAGGTTTGGCCATCAATGCTGCCCCTGGCAGATCTTGTCTAAAAGGGTGAGAATGTAAATTAAAAATATAATTCTAAGCCCCGCAGTGGACTGGAACAGACCATCCCTTGGCCAAGGGGACCCCTGAGTAACTTTGAAAATGGAGTTCTCAGCCATGATGGGATGGGAGGGTGGTCAGACCCCCTCCCTTGGTGACCGTGATTAAGCTTTCCTCCCTAAGGTTCTAACAAAAAAGACCCCACCACTGATATAAACAAACTTTCTGACACTGCCCTTCCTTTTTTACCTGATAAGAGACCACTGACCACAGGAGTGGTTCTGGCTAGTCTTTTTTGAGAATGTGCAGTAAGGGGTTTCACGGCCTCTGCTTCACTTTTTAACGTCAGAGGACTGAAAACTCTGCCCTCTGATCACCTCAGTTTTTGAACTTGGAGAGCAAGAACCTCAATTGCACATGTGTATGTTTCTCCTTTCATAAATATTCATGGCTCCTTCAATAGCTTATTGAATATGTGTATTTGGCCACCTTGATCAGCATAAATTCCTGTTTCTTTTGCCACTCTCTCGAAGTATCTTGTTTCTGGCTTCTGACTGGAGGCTGTGCTTCCCAGCCTGTCAGAATAGCCACCCTGCAGTCCATAACCTTTAAAAGAAATAAAGTTTCCTCTTCTTTTAAACAAACAAACAAATGAACAAACAAACATGTGCCTTAGTTGGGCATGGGAGTTTGTGACTATAGTCCCAGCTTTGCAGGAGGATCACTTGAGCCCAGAAATTTGAGGCCAGCCTGGGCAACATAGTGAGACCCATCTCATTAAAAAAAATGAAATTTATGTCTCATCCTAACTTAACACTATATTGAACACATTTTTCTGTGTCATTAACTGTTCTACAATATTAAGTGGATCAATGATATTCTATTTTTCATTTATTTTTTAAAAACAGTTCCCTATTGTTAGATGTCTAGGTTTTCCCAGTTCCTCATATAAATAACCCCTGCTGTGGTTGTCTTTGTAGCCGTATAACATAGTGGTTACAAACATAGACTCTGGTTTCAAATCTTATCTCTAGTACTTATTGTGTGACCCTAGCCAAGTTAATTAATCTCTCTGATCTCACTTTTGTCAACTATAAAATGAGGCTAATAAAAGTACCAGTCTTGCTGGCTTGTTAAGAAGATTAATGAATAAAATGCTTAAAAACAGTGACAACACATATATTACTGTTGTTGAATACTTGTGCACATTCATGATTATTTGTATAGAAGAGAAGTAGAATTGCTGATTTGAACAGCCTGTAGAATAATAATAATAATAATAATAATAATATTCCTTAGATACTGTTGTGAGATCCTGGCACATAATGAATATTCTGTAAGCATTAGCTATGATGATGAGGATGATGATGTGCTAAGCACTGTGCTAGGTTCGGGAATATCACAGGAGATGAGAGGACCAAAATCTTGCCCTTAATGAAGCTTGTATTCACATGTTGTTGAAAGGCTACATCAAATTCCAAGGTAATTAAATGGCTAACTTCTGAAAACTAGAGTGGAAAGGGGAGGCAGGGAGGA